CATTTCATTCCTTTTACCTAGCACCTTTTACCTAGCACAGTATAGGTATCATTTCTTGTTATGGGTTCACCACACCACGAAGTGGTGGTGAACCCATATTGCTTTTTCTGATGTTTCTCCTTCTTCTCCTGCCATTTTTTAAATGGATTCAGCTTCTTCATTTTAGGGCCTAAGGTCCTGAAATTTGGTATGGAGGTACAGTGGGCAAATACCCCTAGGCGTTTTTTAATTTTTTGTGATACAGGCTTTTAGAATGGTTTTATTTGAGTTTTTTGGCTGTGTTATAGCAAATGTATTACTGTGTTAGTGTGCCGTGTTTACCACGTCTGGGCATGAGTCATCACAATGGAATGCAGGGCATCAACCAATAGGCATGCAGCTTTCCTCTATACTTCTTGCTGATTGGCTGTTGGGATTTAACTTGATTAACACCTGCACAGAGCATTTCCACCTGCACAGAGCATTTCTTGCTGATTGGCTGTTGGGATTTAACTTGCAATTGATTAACACCTGCACAGAGCATTTCCATACTGACAGTATGTCTTTATTCAAGTGTTTTGGTAGGTATTTCAAGCTTTTCTGCTCCTGCATTGGAATGCGGGGCATGAACGTTTTTTTTTTTTTTAAATCAACAGTTTGCATTATGCAATTAAAAATCCTAACCAATAAAGTAGGGAATAGCTATCCAACTGTTGTTTTAGTTGTATGTTACTTCATATTATAGTTATATCAATGTAAATCATTGTTTTCCCTTGTGTTTCTCATTCTTTCCCTGCCATGTCGTAAAATGTGGTGAACCCATCGCTATATTTGCTCCAAAGCAAATATTGGCCTTTCTAGTTTAACAAGGTTTATGATGTCAAAATGTGAAAATGTAAGAATCTTATTTCTTTTGGCCCGCCTTGTTTTTTTTCGCCCTATCGCATTAGATTTGGAGTCTGTGGAGGATGTCATCCATAAAATTTACTTGCTGTGGCCCAATGGTGAAAAACACCATACTGGAGCGGGCTATGCACGGTTTGACCAACAGTACTGCTCTCAGTGGCTTATCCTGTATCTGCAACTCATGAAATGACAAAAGTTCATGGAGCGATGCACTCTTTGTAGAATAATCTATTTCAGAATGATTGCAAAAATATGTACCTCGTGATGTGGACAAGACGCAATATCATGTATGTCAGGATACCCAGTTGTGCATTCTATGTGCAATCTGATCTACTGCTTTTTTCCTAGTTGACACTCAAGTAGTTGTAACTTGTAGAGATCTTACCCAATGAAGTAAGGATAGCAAGACGTCTTGAATACTAATATTTTGTTCATGGCACAAGGTACAGAAGTTGAGTATCACATCATGTTACTTATTCTTATTCAAAAGCACGTAACTCCACCAAAAACATACGATGATGACCAAAATTACTTAACAGAACCACGACGATAGTGACAATGTGGTTATACTTTTTTTAGATATTTGAAGGAAAACGAAACACCAGTTTGGTCAAAAACTAAGGCCCCTGTCACACATTTAGAACCTACCCCCAAACACCAGCCGACCATTGTTGGGAGTTCCAGAGCAGTATAATAAGATTTAGACCATGCCTAATTCTATATGCAAATCGAATCGAATTTAAGTTAAATTTGAGTCAAATTTTACTGTCAACCACACCCCACCCACTCACTACCAGACAACTGGCAACAGGCAACTATTGCTGAACCTCCCGTTTCAAACATTTTGAATCATTCGGCTGGCGCAGCCGAACTGGCCGAACACCAGCCGACCTTGCTCCCGACCTACTCCCAACTATATGGTTGGGGGGAGTTCGGCTACTGTTCGGGAGGCCATAGTCGGCTATGTGTGACAGGGGCATAAACTTCGCTACTATGACTGACAATACAATTGTCTTCTCACGCACTCTCAACGTATTTTGTCTCTCATAAATATTACTGCTCTGCACCTTACCACTATTACCCTGTATACGCACCATTACATCAAACAAGGATATCTTGGATACAGTACTACCCACGTCATATTTCATGAACAAGAAATGTCACAAGGAGCACGGTTAGCTTATCAAGGCACACACATCATAACCAACGAAATTGCCAAAATTGTCGATTTGGCAGCACGACGCCAGAACTTTTGACAATGCACCGACAGTTACAGATCGTAAAGGTAGAGTTCTTTATCGTCCTAACGTAATATTGCGATAATACATTTATGTTTATGGTATACTTTCCATACTTATGGGAACATTATATACAGTACGTCTACGTATGCTGCCATTTTAAGATCACAAAAATGATCATTAATGGCATTTCAGAAACAGAATGTATAGGTAAGTCGTATAGTTGGAAAACGGCTGAGCTTACTTCCTTAAGTCTGGGTATTAAGGCAGTATGTTACGTACTCTCAATATACGTTTAAAGTCAAAACTTTTGTTCCGACACAAAGAATTTTATCACACTTCACAGAAACCACGTGAAAGTCTCAAAGGGTCACGTCGATGAAGGTTAGACATCCAGGTAATACGATACACCAAAAAGCAGTTACTCAAGCAACTGAATATGATTTTGGAAACGGTCATTTTGCATATCAATCAATAATTATATGCATATCAATCAATAGTTAGTGCTTATAAACCTGCATTTCCCCTCTGGTCTCTCAGTCACTGACGAAAGCTAGTGGATACTAGCTGAAACGTCTGACCGTTTTCAAAATCATATCCAGTTGCTTGAGTAACTGCTTTTTGGCGTATCTCGCTGGGTCAGTCTATTGAAGAAGACCAGAGTGGCTGGTCCAAAGCTCTAGGTGAGAACAATTATTTGTGTTGGAACAAAAGTTTTAACTTGTAAATATATAACTACCAATGCAGATGAATTTTCACTACAGCATTTTCAATATTCTACTCTCATTGATGTTATGGATGGTAAAATGCTGTACACTAAAACATTTGGCACAAACGACTGGTCCCCATGATTCAACCAAGGACTTCTTGATTCAACATCTCAGGTTTAAATTAGATTAAAGTTAAAATTAAAGCTCTTTCACACACTTTAGGTGTATAGGGCGGAGCCCATCTTTATTTCTGTAGCCCTTTGGCTACATGATCGTGCAAGCCTGACTAACAGCAATAGGCTAGTCCACTGATAGGGGCTTTGTCGTGTTAGTCGTATGATTGCAAACTGATAGCATTTTTGGGATAGTCGTGCATGTGTGTCGTACAGCTGCCTTGTTTAACCGAAAACGCTGTCTTTTAAAAAGGCCATGTCAAACATTCACGAACTTTCCCCGAATTTGTTCCCGACCACCAGACGACCAGGTTTGGCTGACGTTCAGGGGCAATCTGACCAGATTTAGGCCACGCCTACCTTTCTATATGGATCAAAACGAATTTGAGTTATATTTGACACCCCAACACTCCTAAATGGTTGGCTGTTGTTCTGCTGACTTACAGCCGCAGACCAACCCGACCAACCCCCGACGTTTTAAAACATTTTGAAACTTTCGGCTGGGGAAGTCGAAAAGTAGCCGAATTTGCCATGCACCAGCCAACCTTGCGCCGACCTACTACTCCTAAACATGGTCGTGGGACGATCGGCTAGTGTTCGGGAGATCAAATTCGTGAATGTGTGACGGGGGTGTCTGTCTCAGCCTGCTTGACAAGTCCTACTCTCAAAGCAAAGGTTTGCGGGATTTGGGTTATTTTTGGCGTGTTTAAGGCTTTGTTTTAATCGGGGTTTCTTCTTTGCACTGGGATTTAATTAATTTTACTTTGATGCATTTATGCATTCATTCAGCTGCTAGTAATCCGATGTAAATCGGGCTAAGCAGTACATAATATGATGATTTTAATATCATATGTGAAGTTCCCAAGGAATCAAAACTATTTGTACACAATGATTGAAAACTTTTATTTTTCAGTGACAATGGATGTTGTAATAGTTGACAGTAAACCTAGCACAGTATAGGTATCATTTCTTGTTCAACAAGGTTTATGATGTCAAAATGTGAAAATGTAGGAATCTTGTTTTCAATTAAATAATGTTTTTAATTTGACTACATTTTCACATTTTGACATCATAAACCTTGTTGAACAAGAAATGAAACCTATACTGTGCTAGGTTTACTGTCAACTATTACAACATCCATTAGTCACTGAAAAATAAAAGTTTTCAATCATTGTATACAAATAGTTTTGATTCCGTGGGAACCTCACATATGGTATTAAAAGCAAAAAAAAGAAACCCCGATAAAAAAGCCTAAAACGCGCCAAAAATAACCCAAATCCCAAACCTCTGCTTGGAGAGTAGGAAATCCCACAACATCATAACCGCACGATGGCGTAACCGCGCCCTTTATAGCTATCGCGCACGGAACTGCTAATTTTCGTCTCGTAAACCGGTCATTGACATTTGAAAAGGTCGATGCCATTCCACAGAATGACAAACTTGAAGTGGCGTGGCGTAGACAACTAGTGTTTTAGGATTAAGCTTTGTGACCCGGGTTCGAATTCAATGCTGTGCTTTGTCTTTTCCCCCTAATATCTGCATTATTTTTCATTTTCGGCGATATGGCACCGGACGTTTCAAATGGCAACGACCGTTTAAGAGACGGAAACGCACGATAGATCATGACATTTCCAATAGCACCCAGCAAACGTTCACATCCCAGCATCTCGTGCAATGCACATTCCACATTCAAGATGGTTGACTCGCTGTAAGCATCAAGCACGCAGTTCCTTTTTGGTGCATTTTGGTTGTACATGTACATGTACATGTATTATATCATCAATCAGTGTTTGCTGATTAAGTTAAGTTAGGACGCCATATAGTGGATATTTTCATCAATTCAAAGGTCAAAAGATAGCCACACACTCTTGTTTTAGATAGGTAAGATTTATGAAAGTGTAGTTGATATGTACTAGCAGATGTCATACTTTGTATACTTTGTACCCTGTACAATTGTTGTGCAATAAAGTTATCCTTAAAAACGTCGGGCACTCTCACGGACTACTTATAAGCTATTTGACAATCCAAGAAAGAAAAGTTACTGGTCAGTTACTGCACTGCCAAATGCAGCATTGTCAGTCAGTGTACTTAATGCTTACAGCTTGGATTGCAAGGGATGCTGGAATGGTCTATATTCTTCCTTGGCCCCGAGCTATTTGACAATCCAAGAAAGAAAAGTTACTGGTCAGTTACTGCACTGCCAAATGCAGCGTTGTACTTAATGCTTACAGCTTGGATTGCAAGGGATGCTGTAATGGTCTATAGTATATTCTTCCTTGGCCTCACGCCTCACATGTGCTCAGACACCGTCTCGATGACTTCCGGTCGCAGCTCCAGATCGTTGGCGCCCTGGTCGTCCTGGTAGACCCGCGGCATTTCCGGTTCCACCCGGTTGCTCCGGCAACAAGTGATCTTCATGGCGTCCTGGAACCCCTTCCGGAAGTTCTCGTTGAAGCCGCCGTAGATGATGGGGTTGAAGGAGGAGTTGGCGTAGCCGAGCAGCAGAGCTGCGTAGCGAAGGTCCCCGAACCAGTCAGGAAGCTGAGGATAGGGATAAATAATGAGATTCTTTATTGAAACAACAGAAAGTATGTTATACAGGGACTTTTGTATGGTCTTCTACAACTAAAGGTCTGACAAAGTTAAATACATGTAGGGAAACGTACAGAATATATGCATGTGGCAAATTACGTACAGAATATATATCAGCGGTAACAAAGGTTTATCTATTCTCTAACATGTAAGATTGAAACATTCTTTAATGTATTTACGTATTTTCCTATTTGAGTACTGTATTGGTTATCTCCCCTGATAATGTAATTGAATTTATCTATAGGATCTAGCGTATTGAAATCAGTTGAACAAGTGGAAAGAGTGTACAAACCATTATAAAATGGAAATCATTTTCAATTATGTTTGGACAAAATGAACAGAACCTTTGGTCATTTTGTACTTTCCTGTATCGACCCATTTCTATGTTTAATTTGTAACAACTAATTCTGAATTTTGCGATCGCTATACGGATAAAGACGTAGACAGCAAACCTATAATACAGTCGTTACTAAAGAATACTTACGACGAGGAAAAATATCTGAAATTTACAAACATTCGACACAGAACAGCCATCACAAAACTCTGTAATAGTTCTCACAAATTCCACATTGAAACTAGAAAGGCCAATATTTTCTTTGGAGCAAATACAGCGATGGGTTCACCACATTTTACGACATGGCAGGGAAAGAATGAGAAACACAAGGGAAAACAGTGATTATGGGTTCACCACACCACGAAGTGGTGGTGAACCCATATTGCTTTTTCTGATGTTTCTTCTTCTTCTTTTTGAATTCAATGTAAATCATTGTTTTCCCTTGTGTTTCTCATTCTTTCCCTGCCATGTCG